AAAAAAAGAATTTTTAGATTTTTCCATTTATTTTGTATTTTAAAATTATTTTTTTAGAATATGTCAGTGTAATATTCTATTTAGAATATTTCACGTATTTTTCAAAAAAAAAACGGATTTTTTTAAATTTTTTTTATTTTTTTTATATATTTTTATATTTTTTTTAGTTAATTCAAGTTCCGAAAATAATATTTAAAAAGAATTTTTAGATTTTTCCATTTTTTTTGCATTTTAAAATTATTTTTAGATTTTGTCTCACGGTCTCACAAAATTAGAATGGTTTCAAATGAACCTGAACATATATATATATATATATATATATATATATATATATATATATATATATATATATATATATATATATACTAGTTTATAACCCATGGGAACCATGGTTATAAAGTTAATTAAATTTTTATAGTAAAAATATAAAATTATTAATTAAATTATTTTAAATAAATTATTAATTTAAGAGATATTTTTTAGTTATGCAAAATTATAATCGTTGATTCAAATAAATATGTAAAAATTAATTTTTAATATATATTAGACATTTTTTATTTTTTATTTGTGAATTAATGAAAACATTAATATAAAATTTAAATTTTAAAATAGAGAAAAAATACATTGACAAATAGCATGACATTAATGAGGAGATCTAAAAAAATTAAAATGAAGAACTAATATATTGACAAGTGACAACACATTAATTAAGAGGTCTAATATGATTACACATAGCAAAAGAACTACATTTTTATTACTATACTAGTTTATAACCCGTGAAAACCATGGTTATAAAATTAATCAAACTTTTATAGTAAAAACTCAAAATTATTAATAAGTTATTTTAAATAAATTATAAATTTAAGAAATACTTTTATTAGTTATGTGAAATTATAATCATTGATTCAAATAAATATATAAAATTAATTTTTAATATATATTAGATATTTTTTATTTGTGAATTAATGAAAACAATAATTTAAAATTTAGAATACAATCACATTAATGAGAAAGTCTAATAAATTTAAAATTAAAAACTAATAAATTAACAAGTGGCAACACATTAATTAAAATATCTAATATGATGATATATGGCAAAAAAGCTATTCTTTTATTAGTATATATATATATATATATATATATATATATATATATATATATATATATATATATATATATATATATATATTGTTAATAAGTTATTGATGTGTCACGTATCTTGGAAAAAGAAATTATTGAAATAAAAGCCCCACCATGATTCATCACTCTTCGTTACTAAGGTAATATGATTCCATTTTCCTTTTCCTTCCGCAATACTAATTCGTACTCAGATATTTTGGAAATTGGAATTGATTGTTAATCAAATCTGTCAATATTATTTCTTTTTTCTTTTGACTCAAACGACGTACAAAATTCACTTTGATTTATAAATTGATCCTATCGCATTCACGACCTTCAGAGCCCCCTACTGCCCCTACCCTGACCCCATCATTTATTAGGATGATATGCTGCTATACGTTATTATAAGTGGATGCATTATGGATGGTGACTACTGGATATCGAAAGTATTTGGTATCGGTTATTAATTTAGAAAGAAAAAATAGAAGAAAACATAATCTTGAAACTTCGATATAAATCTGATGCAATGTTTGTTGGTAACTTTTGATATGAATTGTTGCTATTGAGAGTTGGAGTTTTCTTTTATGGGTTATTATCATTATAATCCAAAAAGGTTTGGCAAAATATTTTAATAGTTCTTTTATTTTATTTTTGTGGATTACGGTATAGACTCAATAAACTATGTTATTTAGGCTCTTTTCATTAGGGCAATCCGGTTTTTTGTTGCTGATGTGTACTTTGACATTGAGAAATTCAAAGGCATTACTTAGGTGTATATTGATGTACATATATACCCTAAAAAAACCCTAAGGCCAAAGAAAGAAAAGTAAATATAATAAAATATTAGGAAAGGGAAGGAAGTCTTTCATAGGTTGATTTAGTTTTTGGTTAAAAGCAAACCAACCGATTGAAAGTTGATTTTTCAGTTTTACAATCCATATGGGTTCTATATGTGTCAGTTTTTACGGTTTAGGAATTTTCGGTTTGAAACCATAGATTTTGTGGGTTCACAGGGGTTTTCATGTTTAAACCCACTAAATTTATGTTGTTATAAAATATAGTAACATAGTTATCCTTTCTTAAACATAATATATATATATATATATATATATATATATATATATATATATATATATATATATATATATATATATAAAAGAAATAGTAACATAGTTATAATTTCTTAAACATAAAATATATATAAGAAATATTAAATAATATATACGATGAGTCGGTTTTTAAGCTCATGGGTCGGTTTGATTTTAGCGGGTGGGTTTGTAATGCATAACCGAACCATACCACTAATAAGGGTTTTTATAAAATTCAAACCCACTTCGTCTGTGTCTCGGTTTCTGGTTTGGTTTTTGTCCATCTCTACTACTGATTTGGGAGGATAGTTTCTAAAGAAGTTTAGCATAAGTTTTCCTTTCTTTCATTTCCTCTCCATTCGAATAAATAAACTTAAGAGCAATGATTTTTTTTTCTCAATCTTCCTGCTTCCTTTCCTATTTTTCTTTAAATGAACCTATAGAGCAATATGTAATGGATAATTTCGTCTTCTCCGTCTTCTACCCACTTCAATAAAAAAAAACACTCGATCTCGTTCTCTCCAATTTCGAATCAAAGTATATAGTAACAAAAACTCATCGGACAAACAACTAATCTTATGTCCACTTTTTTCCACTATATGCTTCCTGATCTTTGATTGGCATGAATCACCTTCATCGAAGAAGAGTAGAAAATATCAACATCATCATAATATCATTACAAGTAATCCTTACGTGACCGTAAGTATTGGTGTAGTTACCATTGTACTAATGCTTGCGATGTCCAACTCCCCAAACCCATGAATGAGCATTCTATCATGCAACTACCGCACCTGATGTCATAACTAGAGTTTCAAGTGAACGAGAATGATCTTTCGAAAGTGAATTCGATCTGAATCTTTGTCATCTCCCCCAAGAGCGTAATGTGAGGAGAGTTAATTTACGATCGGTTCTCAATAATTAGTCCTAGTGGTAAACCAGAAAAACCAAACACCATAATACAATTACATATTAGATTCAACACTTGTTTCAATCGGAACAAGGAAAAAGCAGTTAATACTGATGAGTTATTCGGCCTGAAAAATAGTTATAATTTGTGAGGCACATGGAAATGGTTTGCTAGGTTCTCTAACGAGCCTCACCATATTGTAAATTGACCATCCAACAATGTATACCATATAATAAGCAACAAAGATATCATGAAATATATCTTCCCAACACCCTATCTTCTTGAAAACTATATTATCTCCATCTAATTTGATATCCATAAATTGTGCCTCTTGCAGGTATGTATCCTAATGCCTTTGTGCCTCACAAAATATACCTAGAATAAGTTAGTACCTAGTCGATATGGTGGCCGAACTTAAAGATAAACATTGTACTTAGTTGTTACTCTATCCTAATATCCTATCAAAGAACATCAACACAATTTATAACAATTATTATTATTATTATTATTATTATTATTATTATTATTATTATTATTATTATTAAAACCCAACGTCCTTATCAACAGTAAACATTTCCACTTTCATATTTCACCGCAATATTATGCACAAAACGACTCTTTTCACCTTTCTACATTTGCAACTGCCTTCTTGCACAAACGGATATACCCAACGTAGATGGTTTCATACTTTTTCCGTGGTCTTTTCATCCAAGAACTTACAATCTCGACTCCTACTCCTCCGATTCATAAGGTATTTTGATTGCAATATCTTTCTCTTTCTTCTTTCATCGTCGACTTCTCTCACTCTTACTAAATTTATTCTCAATTTTGACAAAACTACTTCTTAATATGCAAAATTTACTGATTTTAGATTTTGTTTCCAACTCTCTGCAATTGATGTTCCCGCTATCTTCTCCTCCAAAAATTAGCAGTTTCGACTCCAACGCTTCAAATTGATAAGGTATATCAATTGCAATCTCTTTCTCTTTCATCTTATAATCATCAATTTTTCCCAATGTTTCTGAATTTGTTCAACTTATTGACAATTGTTTCATCATATGTACATTTGTTGATTTCTGATGTCATTCCGAATCTCTACAATTAGCATCCCCGCCATCTTCTCCACCAATAATTTACTCTGTAATGTTTATCCTCCAAGTGACGTCACTCTTTTTCAATTACCAGACCTTCCCGACCCCTCCAGTGGAAACGATAATATCTCATTCTTCCAATTGTAGTGAAGTCAGGCCCGATGACGATTATGGCTTCCACACAACCATCTTCCGATTGACAAAAGAGAATTGGTACATCTGTTGCTCCTCTATTCTAGGGATCTATCAATGTGATCTAGGCAATGATTTTGAGCAATCACCGAAGAATTTTGTTGGATGTTGGCAGTTTCCATTCGGAGATGTTGATGCCCTGAGACGATTTCGATCGTCAAGTCTAAGAAGAAAAGGAGTGTCACCATGCTTTGTGTAAGGTCGATTCGATATGTATTTTTTGAAATAGTTGTTATGAAAAAAGTATACAATCAACAAAACTAAGTGAAATAAAACAAACGAAATTCAAATATATATATATATATATATATATATATATATATATATATATATATCTTTACTATATTATTAAGGGTATTGCCTATTTCTTGAAAATTAAGAGGTACAACATATATTACATTATGTACAATATATTAAGCATACATATTATACTACACGCTACGGATCGTATACTACACCCTAATACAAGGAATCCCTAAACACACTGCCATCTATCCTATTCACATCGACACCACCAAAAATGCCCCTTTCCTAACTTCATACGGAGGCGGTGATGAACAGATCAATCAAACCTTTGATTTTTTAGATCTGTAATGGAGACTAATGCTACTCATCATCTTCGATTTTTACCCGAACACAGAGAGGAGTAGGAAGTTGCTGCTGCTAACGACGAAGACATTGCCACCTTCGATTTTCACCCTAACAGACGCTCTCAGGTTGCTCCGATCGTCAGGCTTGAAGCAATCGAGGTCATTAACGGTGAAGAAAATGAGGATGCAGTACATGATCTGTGAGTATTCGACCTTTATCCGAGTTTACACGTTCGTACCATATTCCCAAACATACTCTCACATCCAAACACGACGGCGGTATATCTCTTTCTCACCCTGTCTCTCAAATCATATTGTGTTTCTAGATGTCGACAAAGATTGGTCTCCCCCAAACTCCATTTCATGCAAATAGATTTTCAGGGCTCTAAATTCGGGTTTTGGTTCTATGAAGCATAGATTTTCAGGGTTCTAATCCGATGTATCTGAAAAACCCATCTGGATCCATCTATCTCTCTAATCCACCTTCTTATCATATATTCTCCTTTCTCTTCGCTAAATAATCCAGATTTGGTGATGTGGATAACCTGGTTCGAGATCGGGTTTAGATGACGAATACTTTGCATCTCAAAGACCAGTTGGATGGCTAGGGTATCAAGTGAAGATGCGAGCACCACTGTTCAGGTCTGAATTTTATGAGGAAACTATAATGTGTATAATTTTTATTTATGTTTGAATCTTTCAATGTATATCTTTTTCATAGATCTGATGTTTTTTTTAAAAGGTATTTATTTTATTTATGTTTTCTATATAATTTTTTTTCATCTTCAGGTTAGAGTAGAAATGAATTTCGAGAAGTGGACCGAGAGATGATAGAACAAAGCCTTTTTCATGTTCAGTTTCATGTAGTTCTTGATTTTGTTTGTAGGGAATTGGATGGGGCTGCATTGTTGTTTTTGATGTCTTGTTCCTGATGTTGTTTTTATCCATGGTGGGGCTGCATTATCGGGTAATTTATATTCAAATTCTGAGTTTAATTTGTTAATGGGAACTGTACATATATTATTGTTTCTTTTTAGCTTCCTTCTCATGTGAAAAAGTGAACATTCTCATATGAAGCTTATTAATTTTGGGTTTTATGATAATGGTATTGTAGGAAGTGCATATTATGTTCCACCAAAAGTGCTTCATATTCTGAGAATTTCTTATCCATCATGTCAGGTAAAGCATGTCTAAAATTGTGTTGAGTTTAATTTTAGGATCATGAATTCTATACAGTTACCAGTTACATCCTATTTTGATCCAAAGCAGTGATATTGTAAGGGAATTACAAACGATCTAATTTTTATGTCCTTGATTAAACAGAAGTAAAAGATGATGAGTATGAGAGAGATGATTGTTGATGAAGATGAGTAGGATGCATAGGAAGAGGAAAGGCTGGATAGCTATGATGATAGGAAAAGGCGTAAGAAAAGAAATAAGTTTTAAGATCAATTTGACAGTCTTTCGTTTACTAATGGCTTAATGGTTATATTGGTTTCCATGAGATTTGCCATTGATGTTGAATCAGGTATGATGCAACTGATGATGAACCTTTGGGTCCACATGGTATTGCATTGGCAGAGATTGCACAGGCGACTAAAAGTTTGTAAGTGCTGCAATTTACTACATTTATAAATATATTCAATTAGACAATTTTTTGACTCATTCGATATGTGTTTCAAATCTGAATGTCAGATGACTATGAATGTTCTACGGATTGGATTAACCAAAAGTTACCGCAATTGGTGTCCCTACAACTGTTATGGCACAGGTATAACACATTAAACTCAGAGTGACCCCGAATGGGAAAAAACTTGTACCTTTTTCTCTCATCCGTGAAAAAGATGTAAATTCCCATCTCATTGTTGATTAAAGTTTCATTAGCTACTCCAGGTGGATTCTTCGGTCGGGGATAAAACGGGAACAAACCAAAAATTAGGAAAAAAAAACTTGATTAGAGCATTTTATTAGCCACATTGTGTGCTCCAGGTCTTGCAAGTTGAGGTCATCAAGCATGGGCTTATTAGAGATGCTCCATTTTTTGAGTGGCAAGAGAAGAACACGCAAGCTTTGATGTGCAGGTAAATAGAGTATTTTGTTAAAATGATAATCAGTGAAACAAAAATTGCAAGTTTTAAAAAGTAGGATAAAAAGTTCATATCTTAATGAATGTGATTTTGTTTTTTATGGATCCTTATGCTTTTGCATATGCTATAAAGCGTATCTCAAGATTAGAAAGAAAGTGGTTTAAAGGCCACACTAAATCTGGGACATACATTTGGTCACGTGGGTTTTGGGATTATTTATTTATTTGTTTTTTGATTAAATTCCAATTCCATGGGGTCTTTTAAATCCATGTTTACATGGATTTGAGCATTCAAACGAGAAGGTGGATTGAATTCAACTGAGCACTCAACTTTTGTCATATTGTATGACTGTGCACCTAGTAAGAAACTATATGTTGAAATGAACTATTCGACGCAAAATAATCTACCAAATGGCCGCAATGAATAGCTCACGTCTAAAGGAAAGTAATCATCACATTAAAACTATCTTCTGAAAGAAACTTTTTGCCGCCCGGCGCTTAGATAACATACAAAAATCAATTTACAGAAAACATACTTGTATAATGATTACACAGAAAATATAATCATGAAATTGTACATATTGAGGCCTAATTTGCAGTATCCTAAGTCAGAAATGTCACTAGCAGGGATTTGTCAAGAGGATACAACAATCAATCCAAGAATTGATCTTGAATTTGCCAAAATTTCTATGTTCCCTTCATCTTCAGGAAGAACGAATTTTCAAGAGAATTTGTGGTGTAAAATGATTTCTGTAACCCCGCACAGATGAATGAAAACAGGTATTTATAGGTATTAGTTATGACAGTTGGAAACTATCAAAACCGAATATAACTGTTATAATACTTGTCATTCAGTAATTACGAATTTAATGAAAATAAAAAATAAAAAATTAATTTTGTAATTAAAAAAATATATAATTAATAAGGAAGACCCCAAGGCCTAAGGCCCATCTTTTGACCATTAAATATTTTCTTGATATTAGCCTATTTTGAGTCCAATTAGGCTAGTCCAACACCACAACCCAAACCCAATATGCTTAACTCATTACTTGATCCATTTGATTAAATGAGTGGGATAAGACATATAAGGTGGGAAAATGTTTTCTCTTCCACCAATGTGGGATAAATCCCACATTTTAATTTTGTAAAGCAAAGTTCCAACAATACCCCACATTTTCTATTCAAACTCCAAGAATACCCCACATTTGAATAGAAAATAAGTGAACTTTGATATTCAAATAAGGGAAGTAAGATATGACATGCATCTGAATTGGTGTTGTAAAGGTTGAACCTTTTATAGTGAGTACTAATTGGATCTACTTTGTGGGTAGTGAACTAGAGTCTTGAGCTAACCACTTTTTATAGTAGAATAAAAAACAAGAAGTATCACTCATATCATATCTAAGCATAGATAATTTCTTACCGTTGTGTTCATTTTGGTCGCGAACAATCCTTTCTTCATGAGACTTTTAGAGAGCTTAGCTATATCAGCTCCCAAAGATGCGACCTCACATCCATCTCACATAGGTAATGCTAATCTGGAACAATTCGTACTATTCCACTATAAAAGCTATTAACATTATTAAGGTTAAAGAATTCATCCCTATATCATCAACGAAAAAACACAAAATAAATATCATAGGAGTGAGCATGCCTTTGTGTTAGTGCTTCTTTGAGTCTTCCCCAAATACTTGTCCAATTGAACCTAGACTATGGGATCTCCAATGTTTCTAGGTTAGGTTTCCACCAGGTGGTGACTCATTGTGTTGGCTTTAAGCGCATTCCCCTCGATGTGAAGAGAACTTGCTCTCTACTAAGGCCTTTTCTCATGGGATTAGCTATATTTTCCTTTGACTTTATGTAACTAACGAAAATGATTCCATTATTCAGCAAGTCTCTTATTGTAATATGTATGTGCCTAATGTGTCTTGACTTGCCATTGTATATATGACTTTGTGCTCTAGTAAGATCAGCTATACTATCACAATCTATGCCAATGGCAGTAATAGGTTGAGGCCATAGAGGAATACCTTCTAGGAAGCTTTTAATCCATTCAGCTTCTTCATCAGCTTTGTTTAAAGCAACAAAATCTGCTTCCATTGTAGAACGAGTATTCATAGTTTGCTTAGATGATTTCCAAAAGATAGCAGCTCCACCAAGAGTGAACACATATCCACTTCTGGATTTTTCCTCTGAAGTATTGGAAATCCAATTTTCATCACAATATCCTTCAAGAACAGGAGGATCTCTCGTGTAATGCAATCCATAATTCATTGTATGCTTTAAATATCTAAGCACTCTCACTAATGCATACCAATGATCTTTCCCAGGATTGTGGGAGTAGCGGCTCAATCTACTTGCACTATATGCTAAGTCTGGTCTTGTATAATTCATAATATACATTAAGCTACCAAGAACTTGAGTATATTCTAACTGAGCTACATTATCACCTTTATGCTTCTTTAGATGACTAGAAGTATCAAATGGGGTGACAACCGGCTTGTCACCATAGTGTCCAAACTTCTTGAGCACACTTTCAATATAATGGGACTGAGTAAGAGTGTAGCATTTTCTTGGTTTGATTGATCACATCCAAATTAGTACCCATTATAATCATATCATCCACATACAAGCATATGATGACACAAGCATTCTTGTAGTGTTTGACATAAACACATTTTATCACATTCATTAATTCTAAATCCATTAGAGAGTAATGTGTCACACCCCCAAACCAAGGATGGCGGAAACATCCGGGGGTGGAGGACTTCATTTATAGTATCATAACCACAATTGCATTAGTAATTTAAACAAACACAACCAACATATATATAATTGAAAGAGTTACATCATTGTATGAGTTATATGTTTCTAAATCAATTACAATATGTTAACAAAATATGAAATGTTGACGCCTTAATGTCCCATCCTCAAAATGCACTTTGATACATGTTTAATGATTTCTTGGGAATACAAGTTGTTTAAAAAGTGTCAACACAAAGGCTGGTGAGTTCATAAGCTTTTGTTTTCAACTTGACAATAGTCTTTCTTTTGTAAATGTCATGTTTGTTTCAGAAAAATCCGATATTTTCCTTAAAATGTGTAATGTAGTCTTATATCCGAAAACCGAAATGTATAAGTAACCTTTCTTACTAATAGAAAATGATATGTGTTTAAATCGACATAAACACGTTTGAATTAAATGAATTTCCCGTAAATTGTTATGTTTATTAATACTTTCTGTGAGTTCATTATAACCATGTTATGACCTAGTTGGCCTGAAACGACGTTCTTCAGACGTCAGAAATGTTTATGATATTTGTCACTCCAGACCTGCCGGTCTAACTGTTTGATATGTGCATATTTAGGTTGTATTAAGTATAGATTTTTATTCATTTATTAGCTAAATTATTGCATTTCATGGACAAAAGGTACTTAAAAGTGTTTGAATTGTATTTTCAGTCCAAAAATGAAGCTCGG